GTCAAACGTCGAGATATCTACTGAAAACAAATCAAATCCAATTAATGTGGAAATACCATCCGACAAAGTCAATCATATGAGTAAGTGTCATTTTTTTTATAATAATATACACATGTGCATAGAATGAGTGGGTAAAGTATGTCAGCTGCATCACATTCTTGATATTTTGTGTCTTGCTAATATTGCGATTTAAAACACTATACGGCCTCAATATGTATTGAAAATTTAGACTGGGGAAAAAGCCTAGTTGACTCCCCCCTAATGACGCCTTTGTTTTTCTCTTAAAAAAAAAAAATCAAATTCCACTGTTAGAATATATATAATAGTTTGATAGTAACAGCTAATCAATCATTCATTTTATACTATTATTAAAAATATATAAATAATATATTTTTAAATTTTGTATTAGTGTATTTTAGAGTTATATTTTGTTTTAATGTTTCAAGTAATAAATTAATGAAGTATATTTCATAGAGCTTTAGTTTTTAATAATTAAATTTAGTCTAATTAAGTCACTTAATTTTACATATAACACTTAAACCATAAAATAATCTAACATTTAACTAACATTTTGGAGGGTGCTAATTATACAATATCAATTATACAGAATGTCCAACTAGGTTAGACATATTTTATTATTTTTGATCGAATAATAATTTCGTTGAAATAATAACTTAATATGTACTTGTCTTAAAAGTATCATCGACCCACAAAATATTTTTGTGAGATAAGGCTGAATAATGGCTATTTCAAAATTTTGAAGAAAATAAAATTTCAACAAAATTATTGCTGTATTATAAATTATAAGACATATAAAAACATACATAAAGTAAAACAAAGGAGTTCCTCGGTAACCCTTCTACACTGAGTCTATTAAGCGGATAGTAAAACCACGTTACTTTAAAAATATTTTTCATTTTTGTTTTTAAAATAACATACGAATTCTTATAAAATTATCATAGTAATATTTATTTTTATATATTCTTTTTTAAAGTTCCAATAGTGTTTATAAAAAAAATTTCGTCATTTTATAATAATATAATTACTTTTTAATATAAATATGATTTATTTTGTATAAAATTATTTTCAAAAAATTAATTCATAATTTTGGTATTTCTAGATCCGTTTGAGTTGCTCAAAAGAATTCCGCAAGACATTATAGACTCCTATGTTTTTAATAAAACAATTAATACAATCGAACTAGAAAAATGAGTAAATAACACCGAACTATGTAACAATGTTGATAACATAAATAATTTTGATGCATCAACTGATAATCCTACAAAAAATAAAAAGTTATCTACAAATAGCTCTACAAAGAAAGTTTCTAAAAAAAAAACGATCAAAAAGATCTAGATTCAATTGATTTCAAGTTGGTAATAATTTTTGTGAACTTTCGTTCAATAATTTTCAATTTAATGAATAGTTTCGTTTCTATCATTCATTTTGTACATTACTTTATTCTATTTATTTTTATTGTCATTGGATGTTTAATGATTACACATTGATGCATATATTTTTTTTATTTAAAGATTTTTTGTGCTATAAATATTTTTAATTGTTCTTTTTCAATTATGTAATTCAATTTAATATTTTAATATATTTTTGTTCTTATTTGAAATTTGTAATTATTTAAATAAATAGCGATAAGATAAGATTTTTTTTTTATTTTATTCAATTATTAGTGAACTATGATTCATTAAATATTAGAGGTCGTGAGTATTTCTCACGTTAGAGAGGAGCAAGCGTACTTCAGTTTTTACCTTTGTGGTATAATACACCGGTAGTCTTATCGGTACACTAAATATTTATTTTACTGTATTTATCCTACTACTGTTTTATTTGTTAAATCCCTTAAATTTTTAAAGTTTGATAAAAAAATTTATTATTTTATAAGAATTTTAATAAATAGAGTTACATATAACGCAGGTGGATTAATCTCGTACTAGTGTATATTTATTATACTTATTTCACCGGAGCTATAAACTATTCTATTTATTAAAATGCTTATAATTTCTTAAGGACTTATCTTAGGTTATTAACGGCTCATCATTTTTTTTTTTGCGATAAAACGGCTAAAATTTAATTTAATTAAATTTATTTACGTCGAAAAATAAATTAAATTATTATTTTCTTCTTATTAGAAACAAATAATAAGAAATATTCTTTTAACGTTGTCCAATACTGTAAAAAATAATTTAATAAAAGTAACGCAAAATATTTGCTGGATCAAAAGTTAATAAAGATGTCCACTCGGTGGTGGGACATTCTATAAGTCATTTAAATTATTTACGAAAAATTTGTTATTATTTAGTCAATATAATTCTAAACTTAGAACAGAATCTGATCAACATTCTATGGTAACAAGAATACCATATTTAAAGTCAGTATTTTTCTTTCATTTCAAATTGTTATATAATATTAAATAACAAATGAATTAAAAAAAAATCCAGCACAAGGGGGTCGCGGCACAGTGGTGACGTGGCATAGTTGGATCAAGTATAATTATATCTGACTGTGATTAAAATCACTATCAAAATAAAACACTTCGATGCAAATCTTTAGATAGTGCTTAATTTTAAAAAATTGGTGGATTATTCCAAAAGCTACATGATCTGCTAGTTCTTTATTAATATTATTAAAAAATATTATTTCTCATGAAAAAATTGTATTGATCCATAAATTTTTCAAAAAGTTATAGCATAATAAAGTTAAAAATGTAAAATACAAAATCAAAAATTTTCACACAAAAATAGCATTCGGTAGCCATTTTCACTGTGAAGACAAAATAAAGTCCGAAATTTTTTTTTTCCATAATAAAGTATATTACATTAGCTTTAATTTAAGATATATATAAAAGTGTCAGACTTTCTGGAACACTCTCAAAAGTTAAGTTGAAAAAGTAAATTTTTTGTAAAAAAATTGTGATTTTGAATCATCCCCTGTGGGCTGGTAAAGGGTTAAATTTATAAAAAAAAATATACTAAATGATAGGTAAAGACATCAAGCATCTATATAAAAAAAAAAATTATATTTATTTGTTCATTTTTGAAAAAGTTATGGCAGTTTTAAGTAAAAAAAATTTCAAAAATTAGCGACTTTTAAATTTGTATTTTTTTTGGAGGTTTCCCCCATTTACGAGGAACGAGGGATATTTTTTCAATTTTTGAGGGTAATGTCTTCGACTAGATACGATTTGTGATCTTTTGACGTATCATTGAAAGAAATCGGTTCAGTGAGAGCTCAGCTTCGCATTGAAGCTAATAATTTATAATTTTTTAAATAAACTAACAGTATACTTTTTTATGTAGACTCGGTCATAGATTAGAATAATCTATTAACCTGCACCATTCTTGACTTTTAGTTAACTTAAATTGGATTTATCCGATGGATTGAAGAAATTTCTCCATATCTTCTCCACAAAGACCCTTATGATTTTGGGTAACCCAAGTGGAGTTAGTTAGTTTTGAATTTCATTACAACGATTAACAATTACTGGTAAAAAAATGCTTGTAAAGTAAGTCCCATATTGTGGGATGCTTGGGTTACACTCGATGCTATTGCAATCACTGTAAGTCAGCATTATACAAAGAAATATTACGTTTAGACATACGTCATATTATGAACTACTTTGGGGTATTAGTAGACAGATATTTAATGTTCAGTAAGTGATTACATCAAAGTTAATGCGGCTGAGCAATAGTTATAGTTATTGAGTGTTATAATTTTTTTTGAATTGCTGTATGACGCACCCGTCCGAAAAAGCACCCTGAAGTACAAAAATAACAGTGTAGAGGCTTTGAGGAAGGAATAGCTTATATTTAGGAATAGTCTAATAAAATAGATGATTGTGTTCTGGGAGAATATTACGATTCTTGATTTTTTTATCGATTGTACTACATACAGGAAATAATATGGGTTTGTTCATAATGCAACTGTTCGATTATTGGGCGCCAAGATTTATTAGCTGTATTAATAATTTTTACATCAATAATAAATAAATATGAAACATTCACGTTGCACGCATTTAATCATGATGAGGTTGACAGTAAAATAATGATTAACAATAATATTTTAAATCAGTTACATCTTATGTGGGAAGTCACATTTCTAGCGTTTTGGAGCAACATCTTGATGAAACTAACTATTTTTCCTTATTTCAAGTGGAACGTAATATAATAACAATGGCAACATATTCATAAAAATTCCAAGTATCATTACTTAGGTGCACCATCATAAAAATATTAACCTATTAACTGTGATCCACACCAAACATTTGTTGACTATTTTATATGGAATTTGGTTTTTTAACTCCAAAATGGATTAGTATTACTCCAATAATGAGATTTGTGTTGATTATGGAAATGCAGAAATAGTGAATAGATTGTTATCGAAATATAATTTCTAATTTTCTTTAGCCTATTCTGAATGACATTGACACTGAAAAAATGTGGTTCTAGCAAGACAGTGATACTTGTCACACTTCTGGGACCACAATTGCATTGCTTTGTCAAAATTTTGAAGGTGATTCATACACTTTTAGGCAATCAGCAGGGGCCACCAAGATCGTGTGATTTAACTTTATGTAACTTCTTACTTTCAGGCTTAATTATATCACTGGTTTATGCAAACAAACTGTAAACTTTATTGAATCTTAAGCAACAAATTCAACAAGTTACAGTAAACTAGATGGGCAAGTCTGTGGAAACATAAGTAATTCCATAGCAGAGTCACTGCATGTCAAGTGAATAGAAGGAGTCATATGCACGATAATGTGTTTCACACTTAAACATCAACTCATATTAAAACAATATTTATCATTATTATTTTTTTTTGTAAAATAAAATTAATTTATAGCAAAATTAAAAACGGTTCTTTATGAAACACCCTGTATTAAGAAATGTAAAATGTATTTCTAGATAATGGACCTTTTAAGTAAATGTTAAAGTTCAATTTTATAGCATTTGGATATAAAAGGTTTAAGACATAGAGTTAAATAATATCATTAAAAAAATTAAATATATTATAAATTAAATTCAATAATAATAATTCTTAATAATAGTTTCAAGTGTATTAATAATAACTTTATTTACATGTGTACATATTTCTATTAATAGAATACATTTTAAAAATATCAGAGATGTACATTTATAATTTATGACTACATAGAAAAATTTAAAGATGATGTACTAGGAGTTGCTCTTGTAGATTGACTACTTTCTCTGTCATCATTAGAATTAATATGCTAAAATAAAAGTGATAATTAAATAGATATAATTTATTTAATGTTGAATAATTATATATTTGACCAATATTTGCAATAAAATGATGTTACTTTGAGTTTTTAATTAATTTTTTTTTTTTGGATATATAATTTTAAATATGAAATATAAAACATTAAAAAAAAATTATAAGAACAAAAATGTTTATACATTTTTTCTAATATATTAGTAAGGTAAATATATTGGTTCTCATTTAAGATAATTTATACTAAGGTTTTTATTTATGAAAGGATGAAAAAAAATTATTTAACTACATATAAAAAATATTTTCGCAAAAACAAAAAATTTTCAATTGTGTCCAAGAAAATAAGTGTCTTATTTTTAATGAATCACTCTGTGTATATCATAAGTTTAAAATTGTTTATAAATCAATGTGACTAGCTCTATGTTTACATGTATACAGAGTGTTTAATTAGGGATAAGACACTAATTTTCTTAGAAACTATTGAAAATTAAAAATGTTTGTAAAAGAAAAAATCGTTTGATTAAAAAAACTCTACAATATGTAATTAAATAATTTTTTTCGTCTATTTAGGGTTGAAATACCACAACTTTAATTTTATTTAAACCCCTACTTTCAGTTAAATGATATTATATGTAAAAAATGTGGCCTAACAATTTTGTTCTTGTAATATTTTTTATTAGATGAAATTTTCTTCTGTTATTGCTTATTAAGCAATTTTTGACCAATTTTTAATTGGTAATTGGTTGTTTATTCTTTCTTGCTGTTGCTTAAATAAGTGTTTACTGACAATTCTTGTTATTATATTTGTCACTCATGATAGTAAGAATAAACACTGATAATAATTTATGGTCTACTAAACCAGATTATTGTAGCCTTCAATATTATGAAAAACAAATAATTAATGAAATTCTATTTTAAATAAAAAATTTTGAACAATTTTAAAATCAAATTTAACAATTTAAAAAGCAAATGGTTTATCAGAAAAAAATATTTTACTTTATAATATTATATTCATTACTAAAAAGAAACAATTATGTCTACAGAAAATTTGCTCAATATATTGATTAAAATATTTTTGAAACTTACTTCATGCAATGTCATTAATGCATCTAATGTATCTGGAAAAACAGGTCTTACAGAATTAATTTCCATTGGGGTCAAGTGATTTAATGAAGCTTGAACTCGACCATCTTTAATGAACATATCAACTGAAGAACGTAGTTTAGCAATTCTTAAATCCCATAAATCCTGTTAAGTTGATTTTAAAATTAAAAAAATTGTTTTAGATAGTTAACAATAGAAATTATGTAATTTGATTAGTTTTTGCATATCAATATAGAATATAAAATTTTACAAGTAGTTTCAAAAAGTTTAACAAATTCATGTTAAACTGTTATCAAATGTTAACCTATAATTTAATAACTTTTAATTTTCTACATTAAATAGGACAAGTTTAGTTGGATTATAATAATAGTATTTTAACACAATTAAATGTTAAAATTTTAAATATTTCTTTTCACATTAATAATTTGTTAATGTAAACAAATAATACAGGTCAAGAAAAATAAAGAAATGGCTTAATTATTATTAATAAAATAAATATTATTCTCATAATTTTATAATATACATTTATAAGTTTAATAATTATATTGTATTTATTATTTTACTAGAAAATTTTATAAGATGATAAAATCAATTATTTTAGTCATTACATTCATACTAACTTATTGGATCGTAATAATATAAATCGACATAGGTATTAAATTATTTTTGTTAATTTTAAGGTGGTATTATTGGATAGAGTTGATGTAAAGAGAAGAAAATTAATTATGGACATTTTTTTCTAATTATATTAGTTTTAAACAAAATCATAATTTAGGCTTATGCCTATAGAAATTGACATTAGCTATATAATATATAACTTATATTAAAATAGCCAAATAAGTAATACAAGATTAATTATTTATGGTTAACCTTTAGAATTAAAATATAATTTGAGTGTTTTAAAACTCACGAAGAAAACATATAACTATAATAATATCTGTTCAGAAACTTGGAAAAAACATAATAAGTATTATTTTTGATTCTGTTATTACTTTAACAGCTGTTTTTATCTCATTTGCCTTAGGAATATCTTCATTAGCTACAGCTAACAACATTTGAGTTATTTCCAAATAATAATTTGATGGCAACTGTGTAAAGAATCTAAAAAAATTGATTAAATATGGAAGTAAAATTACAATTAAGTTTATTTGACTATCTATCTCAGTCAAAATATAAATTGAAAATAATAAATGTTAATATATACTTAGATGACTTTTCTTCTTCGATTTTTTCATTCAACTTTTCAACATTCATCCAGTCAGGTGGTAGAATTCGGCAAATTTTTTTTTGACGTAAATTTAATGCTGCCCAAATAGGCACTCGCGAGGGCAATCCGGCTCGAAAGGGTCCAAATGAACCACAAATTAAATGAATATGACTTGCATTATTAAAATTTGGCACTATCTGGATTACTTCATTTTCTGCCATGTACTCTATTTCACTAGGATGCATCATGATGAAAAAAACACTAAAATATTAGCTTAAATAGTAAGAAGTATAATCTACAACAGTTTTTAAGACTGTAAAATAAAAATAACTAATACTGAAATTAATTATTATCAAAATAAAAATAATATTAATGTAATTATACTTATTATAATAAATAGATATGGTTATCAAATAAATAAAAGTATTATTGTTATTGAATAAATGGCGGGAATTTTCCTGTTATGACCTTGATATTTATTTAAACACATGCTTATTGTAATAATTATGAAATGGCGAAATACATCCCCCTGAAATTGACAGTTTTAGTTAATCTAAAAAATTATTAAATTGATTAATTAATTTCAATAGAATTATTTTAATAATTTATCTTTAAAACTTATAAAATATTCACATTCCATGTTTCATAAAATGTTATCAAAGTAACGTCGATAACATTTTTCTTATCATCGGCGATCAAAATGTATAAAGTAAGGTTTTTTTTGTCTAAAGAGTTAAATTAGATTTCTTAATAATTTAGAATAAGTATAGCAATGTCAGTCATTAGTTGATATACAATAAATTATATCTATTTTTATTATCTTATTTATGTTGTATAACAATGTCAAAACTTCCAAATTTGCATAAAATTCAATTTAAACATTTAAAATAAATAAATACGAAAAGGTAAATTTAAACAAATAGTAAGTGTAACATATTTGTTTATTATTTTAAATAACATAAATTCAATTCAATTCCTTATCAATGTTTATTAAATTATGGAATATTAAGATGGTACCTAATAAGTTTTAAAATATGTCATTGAACAGCAACATTTATTAGTATGTATAACAATCATTTCACTACATAATTTTTAAATTATCAGCTATTTATATTTGAAAACCAGTTAGAGAAAATAGTTTTTCAGTCATGTTATTAGCTAACTGTTAAGAATAATAGTTAGCAGTTATGTGGTAGATAATTAAATGTTGTTCTATTTTAATTTTAATGTTAGTATTCTATACAACAATGACAAAAACTATGTTACGTTAGTTAAGACATATTTTAGAGCTGAACCAAGTTGTGAGTATGAAATAATAATTAAAATGCATAATATTTATATTTATTATTTAACTTGCTTAGGTTTTTGAATTATGACAATGCGTTTTCTACTGCAATTTATTTCTTTGAAAAAGCCTTGTTCTTGCAAAATGTATCCTGAATATAGAATATGCTTCTCAGGATATTACCCTTCAAATCCACCATTATTATATACACAGTTGTACAAAAAACATCAAATCTCTTCAAATATTTGCTTTATAGATGATCAGACTAAAAAACGCCACTTAAAAATAAAAAATGCCATTCAAGATAAGAAAATTATTTTACAAAAAATTCAAAACAAAAGCAAATTTATACTAAATGATATAAAAATGACTAAAATAAAAGTTCACCAAACTATAAAAGAAAATATATGGACAATACCAAACATGTTGTGTATGACTAGAATAACATTAAGCCCATTTTTGGGTTATTTGATTGTAAATGAATACTTTGAATATGCACTTAGTTTTGTAGCCATAGCTAGTTTAACTGATTGGGTTGATGGATGGATTGCTAGAAAATTTAAAGGTCAAAAATCAAAATTGGGTAGTTTTCTAGATCCAATGGCTGATAAAGTACTTGTAGGTACTATGTTTCTAACATTAACGTATGTAAATTTAATACCACTTAGTCTAACAAGTCTTATAATATTAAGAGATTTACTATTGATTGGTGCTGCTTTTCAAATTCGCTACAAATCTATATCAAAACCAAGAACATTGTACAAACTATTTGATGTAACAAGTTCTAATGTTCAATTAGCTCCAACATACATTAGTAAAGTTAATACTACAGTTCAATTAGTCATGGTATGCACTACTCTTGCTGCTCCAGTTTTTGATTTTGTTGACCATCCTTCGCTTAAAGTATTGTGGTGGCTCACTACTGTAACTACTGTATCATCTGCTATAAGCTATATAATAAATAGAAAAAAGACTTATAAAATATTCAACAAGTATAGATAAATATTATAATTTTTTTTTTGTTATTATAATTATAAAAACTAGTTAAAAGTGTATTGTAAATTTTTGTATTATGTATTTGTTGGATCCTATAAAGATATTGTATAGTAATATATTAAAAGAGTTAAGAAAAATTATTATCTTTTTAAATTTTTAACTACTATTTATTTAAAAAAAAGTTAAATATTTCTCTATTTACTATAAATTATATTTTTATAAATATAAATTTTAGTTCAATAACAGTATAATAGTGTAAGTTTATTATATACATAAAATATATATAAATTATATTTATTCTTATATAATTGTAAACAAAGCAAATATATAGAGGGTGATTTTTTAACTATACCTTACAAATTATTTTTGAAACATTAAAAACTAATTTTTTTTTTTGTAACAATGATTCTCTGATAAGCTTCTCTATGAGAAAAATTAAATTTCTACTATCTTCTCTTATGATTTGAACTGTCATAAATTTTTAGTTTTTCAAGTGGCTGGTGTGAACATATTTATTGGGTACATACAAATATATGTAAAAAAAAAATGTTTGTAGGGAAATCTCTTTACATTATTCAATTTCCAGTAAGTTACGAGTCTTTTAAAGGCTTAAGAGAGATGAAAAAATAATAATTTATACAATGAGCAAACATTATAGATTAATAATGTACCTATGTATTTACTATCGTTCATTGCATTACTAAGAAACAATAGTGATAATGATAATTGATTACTTACCTTATCAATTTATTGTAAAAATAAAATCGCAAATATTTTGCAAACCATTATTTGTTAATTTGTTATGAAGTAAAAAAACCAACTTAATTATGAAATAATTATACATTAATTATAATTAATAAATATGTTTATCTTTTTATTAATTACGTGATTCATTATAAATAAGTTACCCTGTACTATATATAAGAAAAATTTACAAAAACTAAAATTATTTCATATCCTGTTTTAAAATCTATTAGTTAATTTTATTTTTTAAAGAATTAGAGCTAAAACTAATTGTTAATGATGTAGTAAATTAATAATTATAATAATATATGGAATGTTTGGTGTTTTAATATATTTTATTAAGTAATTCATACATTTTTTCAATAAACATTTATTTAATGGCACATAATATACAAAGATTCATCAACTCAATGTGTATAATGGTGTAGCTTATAAGTATTACATTTTAGACTATAAAAATCATTCGTGATTTATTATGATATTATAATTAATATATAAAATGTTATAATAAAAAAGTAATAAACATTTTTGTTTTAACTTAAATTACAAATAATAAAATAAATTAATGTAGAGCACCATTTATTGTCCAGTATTTACACAATAATACTTATTAAATATGTGTGAATATAAATAAATTGATTATGTTAATTTAAAAGTAAGACATATATTATCGCTCTTTTTGAATGATTCAATTATTATAAAACATTCACGGTGAAATTATTTTTAAAATATTGAGTGACCTTTTATACCATGTAAAATTTGGACCATAAATTACATACGCGTTACTAACTTAGGATCGCATTTGGATATTTTGCACCCCTTAACAATATAAAAATATATGGACAATAGGAGCAGAGAATGACACCAATATCACTCAAATGGCGGTCCTGCTCTTATTTATAGAACTTGTTCGATTTATTTAACGTGAACATTTTTTTAATCGTATTAGTAAATAAATGTATACAATAATAACATTACAATTATCGTTTCTTCATCACTTTAGTTAGTTTATTTAACCTAATATAGTTAAAAACGTAAAAAAATATTTTATTGTAAGATTATTTCACGAAATGCTTTAAAAACATTGAAGTACATTAAAGCAGCTTTATCAAACAAATACAATAAAAAATAGATGCAAAATTTGTTTCGCTTTCGTTAAGGGTTAATTACTTAAATAATTTGTGTAAGTAACATAAATAATAATAGTGTATCATAAACTTTATAGTAACAACAACAATAAGTAATGTTTGAGTAGCCCTTACAGACAACTGAAATTATTGATATTTGATCGCTACAGAGTTCTCAGTTCAGTTCCTGCCGTTTCTGACTTCGATCACGACTCCACCGTTATGATTGCTGAATCCGTTGATCTTTCCGATGACAGGGTTCCCATCGTTGTATCGGCTCTTAGTGACGGTCTTCGTCTCACTGGATTCGATGGTCTCTACACGACCGTCGCGCGGTACTGTCTTCTTGCTAAAATTTTGCACCGTATTTGTAACACTTGGTCGATACGGGTCGTCTGACTTGGACGTTATCCTAACAGTTTCCGAGTAATCGTCTTTACTTCCCCGTCTCGTTACACTACGATTGGTTACTTCACCACCATTGCTGCTTCTATGACTGACGGTTATTGGAGACGACGAATGGCCACTGCTCGAGTAGCGATCGACTGTTCTGGAAGGCGAATACCGCTGATGTCTATCGTCCTGATGGTTGAGTGACTTGTAAAGTTCCGGCGCTTGGTCCATAAGGCCTTTCATGAACATTTTCTTTTTGGGATCGTCCCGTGGCTTGTATGATCCGTTACTTAGTTCGCCCGGACTGGCCCAACTACCTGATAGTGATCTATATCCATCGTCCACACCTACAGACTGCAAGTCCTTAGTACTTCGGCTGATGATACTCACGATGTTTGGGCTCTTCAAAGGTGGTGGCGACTCTTCCAATCGGTGTAACGTGCTGACTGAACGCCGCGAGAACCGACCCGGGTCCATAGGCTCAACGTTGAAGCTCTGACTGCGCCACAACGATGGCTTGGCGAATGTTCTCTGCGGTTTGGCAGGTCCATTGGCGAACGACACGTTTATCATACTGCCGCCCGTGTTTGTACTTGAAGATCGATTGAGCGAGTTATAGTCGTTTTCTCGAGATGAGTTGTTGAATACCTAAAAATTAAATTTTATAATATACAAAAAGTCATAATAATGTTTTGAATAGTAAACCGAGTTCAGTAAAATTAGGTTAACGTTAACAGTTACCGTTAAACGTACAAAACTAATACACTTAAAATATTTAATTTAAAAAAAATGTAAAATGTTAGAAATTAATCATTATGTTATTTTAAATTAATTACTCGGTTTCATTCGAGAAAATCATTTCCATACAATATATATTATACTATAATATAGTATATATATATGTATGACACATTCCAAATATGAATAATTTTTATGGTGAAGTTGTAATATCTTAAAATGTCTTAACTTTTTGTATAAGCATGAGTTACAAAAAAATCATTTTTAAATATATTTTCAAAGCAAATTAGTGCTATAGCTTTATAATAACAATATATTAGTGTACAATTAGTTAAAAATTATTTTGCACCCTAATTCATAGATATCTTTTGTGTTTAGTGGAATCATTTGCTAATGATATTAAAACGTTGTATGTCTCATTTAATTGAAAATTAAAATTCGTATTTATATATACTTAAAAACAAATGAGTATACGTTAGGTTTTATAAATAACCAAAAAGATTCAAATTACTTTTAAAAAATATTCGCAATGAACTACATTACCTGTTTTTGAATTTTGCTTTCGGTTTTGAGTTTTCTTGGCAACGTCTGTGATCTATCCGTTTGGTTTGTGTCGTAATCGTCGGACAGCAGCCGTCCTGTGGATTTGCTGAATCTACCTAAAGTTGTACTGTTTGTATTCACTGGGATAGTTCTGCGATAAATAAAAAAAATACAATGAACAAATGAAGATAATATGATAAACCACTCCTATTTTATAATGATGTGGTTTTATGTGATTACGAAATATCACAAATATTGGAAAACTCAGATAAAAAATTTGTTTAGTGTCCTACAAAGCTGTTGTGACGGAAAAATATAAGATAGTTGATAGACGCATGCACAAGAAAAACAAAATTAATTAACGATAAATTAGAAATTATTTAAGTTGAAAAATTAACAATAATTCCAAAATATTTTATTCGTACAAGAAATAGTTTTAACAATTTCAAAATTTATCAAAAATACATTTTATCTAAAAGACGTTTAGAACGTGGTGTTAAAACCTCATTAATTTAATTAATAATTATGCTTTCGACTAATTACTGTTACTTAAAAAACTAAAAAGATATATTTTATGGAGAGTTGCAAGAAAAAAATGTTGTAAAGGTTTAAAATTGACCTCGTATAATCCATGTGCTTTTATAAAGAAACAATTTATTGGTGTATAACAAATTTAACATATTTTTTCTCAACTAACGCTAACTTACATTAACAACGAAGTTAAACATTTGCACAGAAAATTTAATTAATTGTATAATGCAATACGTACTAAGTAAACATACCTCTGAGGACATCACGATTTTCAACGAAACCAATCGTTAAGTATAATTACAATAATATCCCAATTACATTACGAGTACACATTTTTCTACGATTCTTCACGACTGCTTAGTAGATGTACGACCGGCGTGTACAAAGATTATGCAGTGCAACGATAACAAGAGTAATTATATGCAAGTAGTCTCAAATTGCGCGTAGTTTGGATAGATTTTACCGTCGGTTGAGATGTTTTGTTGTGATACGAAGGATGATAAAAATTTAATACAACAAGCAGTTAATTGCCGGATTTGGCGTTTTAGCGTTGGAGTTATGATTTCTGCGACGCAAAACAACAAATGCAAGTTGATGTCGTTTGATGGTTAGGCTCGACGAACACCCGTGGGCTGCCACATAGGCTAATTGCGGTTTACACCCTCCCTCCTGTCATCACATGACACTCCCCTTCGGAAGTATGAAAATAATTGGCGTGAATGCAAATGAGCACAACTTGACGCGGTAATACAATTGACCGCGTGTGGCGACCTTGTGTGTACACGCTCAAAAAGGATTAGGCCCCTTTATAAGAAATATATTATTAAGTATTTCCACGTGTCTCTGTTTTGCGATTAACAGCTGTACGAGAATAAAAAATTAGAATAACAACAAACAAAACTAAGTAACTAGATTTGCTATCGTTTTCAAGGCTGACGATCGTTACTGATTTGATTCCGGACTGTTTTTGCAGCTGTTTCTCTAACAATAGCAATGGAAAACGATAATTAATGGTTGGGTATATCAAATTCTGGACGGATTAGACCGACAATGTCGTCCGGACTCGCCTAGAAAATCATAGTAATAATTATTACTATAACCTCGACAGTGCACTATCTGTTACGGTACTGTATATTCTTATTATAAATTACACATACGGATGTATATTTTATTTTAATTGAAAAATACATTTTGGAAAACACCTTGAAAACCACTGACTAGGAAAACTCATAAGTTTTCGGCTAAAGTTTTTTTGTAAAATCGGTATTCTGCTTCCAATTTAATGTTGAGATCCCAAACGATAAAAGTCAAATATTATTTGGGTATGACAATGCGATGTTTTGCGTATATTCTTTTACATGGAAACCGGACGTTAACAAAGATCAACGGTCACCTTAGGATATGCAAAATGTTGACCTCTCTCAATGATCGCGTGTTTAACCGTAAGAACAGCCGATTTGGGTGTGCTAAAACACTCGAGAACTTTCGCGACATTTTGTAAGTGAAATCGTATAGGTCGCCTACGTTTATTATATTTCGGGCCCCGAGGATTACACCAGTCTTATTCCCTAACAAAACGCTACGATAATTACACTAGTTAATTAGCCTCAGGGTAATTATAAATGATTTGAGGATGTTGTGGTCGCCACCAAAGAGATTACAGGCTACAAGTAAATTGGTTTACAAAAGAGCGAGTCATTTATTTTAGTTTTAAATTTGAATAGATTTAATTTTTTTCTCCTCTCATAAACGGATTTCTACTTGAAGATACTAAGTATTTTTATACTTGGTGAAATTATAATTTATTATAATAAGTAGAATATAAGAATTTTTTATTTAGCCAGTGTGTAAGACTCGATGCGAAATAATCAACACCACGTTGGCGTATAACCCACAGGAGTGTCCCCATTGAATGCTAATAATATTTTCGCCGAGAATTTTGCAATGATCTAAATAACCTTCATGCGATTCGTCGTTGATCTAGTCCGATATAAAAATATTATAATTTATCATTGGTAAAATAAATCATCTGCGTTCAATTAATATTTTCTTATTTGTAATTTTCTTGTGTTGTATAGTGTTCTCAAACAGAAGCGTATGACGTTTTTCTTTAATTATATATTTTTATACGTGTAAAAATACATTTGCAGTAGAGTATTATTTGACACCAAGGAAGTCAAAATCCTTAACTATTTGTTTAAATCAATTTTTTTTATGTTAAAACGTAAACACTTCTGTATTTAGATTTAACTTATCATTTGTAAATAAATTTATGAACTATAAGCTACCAGTTTATAGTTTTAAATTGTTAAATTTATGTTATTGTCAATGGTTTTAATTTATTTTAATAAAATCAAATAAACAGAAGGACTGTTTAACGATAATTGAAATTAATTTTAAATCAAACAACTAAGTATTAAGCTTAGATTTAATATTTCTCACGTTAAATTTCAGCTCATTCAAATGTCAAAGAGGCTAAGAACTTAAAATATTTTAAGTGAGTTAGGCTATAAAACCATTAAAATAGATCATAACTTTATAATTTTGCTTGTAAAATATATCTAAAATATTAATTAAACAATTCATTAATAAAATAATAATAATAAAAAGCATTGTAAATATTCTTTTAGGTGTTTTGTAAACATCTATTGTGCAAATTCTAAAGCGGTTGTTAAAACGATGAAGTACTGTGCAATATAAGCGAGTCTGTATTGTAGCAGAATAGTTTGTGTGCATCAACAAATGGGCGTTGCAGTATAATGGTCTATTTGAGGTTACAAATTAGGCGTTAAACTATCTTAGCCAATTGATGAAGTAAAAATAAATAGATATTCTCTTGCCTTATTTGCGCGTTAACGAACGAAGCAAGCTTATTCTGTACGCTTCAGAAAAAATTATTTAAGAATAACATAAGCAAAATTAAAGTTTATTTTATAAAAAATTAACATCAATAAATGTAAATAATAAAAATAAATTCAATAATAAAATTACAATATTTAATATAACAATTTTCAATTTATTATTATATTGTTCGATGAATATAAAATATAACATATAAAAATTAACAGTCTAATGGTAATCATATATCACGAGTATTTGAGCAATTTAAAGGCTGAACTAAATTTTTTTATTCTCTAATCAGTTAGAAAATTTTAAATGTGAGTCACTAACTATTTTTATTCGAGCAAAAATCAGTGTAACTAAAGACCGTATGAAGTAAATAAAAAATTCTAATAAATTATTGCAAATAATACAATATTACTTAAAAAGAATATTTGAGATTCTACAATAATAAATTATAATGATAAAATATTATATCTGTNAAGTAAATAAAAAATTCTAATAAATTATTGCAAATAATACAATATTACTTAAAAAGAATATTTGAGATTCTACAATAATAAATTATAATGATAAAATATTATATCTGTATAAAATTTCTTTAGAAAAAAAAAAAATGAGAGCGTTAGTGAAACAATTAAAGTACCCTGTGAAAACAATTTTAAAAGTTTAATGTGTTATAAAAATAACTAAGACTTAATTTGTTAAAAATAAATCTACATAGTTTATCTTGTGTTATTTTAATCTAATAAATGAATAGAATTGACATTAGTACAGTTGTTGTTACTTTTTTTTTTGAAGCTGTAATGGAAAAAAGCAAGAATCGCGAACATACAAACTTTTAATTACCTTTGCACGTAGTGAGTGGATCTTGGTTGATCGTGATTATTGACCGAAGTACCGCTGGACTTTTTCTGATTGTGCCTTCGCTTGTATGTGGTCACGCCGTCGTATTCCTTCTCCCTTCCGTAGATGCTTCCACCGAATGGATCCTCGCCCAAATAGTAACGTTGCACTCCTCCGTTTGAGGTAACGCCACCGTTCGTAGCACGCGACGGCGATGGTTCGCAGCTTATGTCTCGTCTGTTATTGGACCGTCCGTTACGATGCCGGTCCAGCGTCTGCGTACTACCGAACAGCCGGTGATGTCGGTCGGCGGACGAACGCTTATCGTCATAACTTCTGTAGGTGTTCTCGTGGTGGTCGTCATCGGCGTCACTGTATCCGCTGTGGTCGCCGCCAGTCATCGGTTGTTCCCCCTCCGCCGTACCAGATTTTTTGCGGTTCTTCTTCCGTTCGGCAGAGTCCTTGTTGCCCGTGAACTTGCTTACCAGCCGCCGGAACGACTCGCCAAAAGACTTCTTTCTCTCGTGTTTACCACCTTCGGCCGTCGGTCTTACTTGCCGCGATCTCGAAGAAGGGGGTGCAGACTCGGTGGACGCAAACCGTGTTTTTTGGTAAGCTTTTTTGGAGCGGCCTGTGGAGCCGTTGCTTGCCCGGCGCTCGGGTTCCGGCGAGTAGTCTGGTTGCGGTTCAGGAGCTATGACTTTTTCCGACGATTTTCTCCTAGCCCTGCGATCCCATGACATGTACCGGTCCGGTGATTCTGGAGTTTTTGGTTGTCTCTCAGAAGTACGGTCAGTCTATCAAAAAAAGAAAAATTCTCGTTTAATTTGATTAGGTTTTAATTGATTAAAAAGAAAATTTAAAAAAAAATGATCATCAGATGAATTCAATCCTTCCGCAGTATCTTTTTATTTGACTTTTTGAAGTCAGAACTTTTACTATGTAGTGAATTTCAAACAAAAATATCTTATAGCAGTGAATATGTGAAATGTTTTAACCTACTGGTCATCGTAACGTGGTCATGACCATAAACAGACAATTGGCATTGTACTAATTCTGAATCAATGACTAATGTTATGTAAAATTATGTATCTAACATAGTTTTTTTTTTAAACAAAAAAATAATTTCATTATTATGGAATTTTTTAATCATAAAAATTATGTTAGAATTTAGTACAGACGATTTTTAACTTATTTTAAGAAATAATACTTGGGTTTTATGTAAGTACTGTATATATTGAGTACTAAATAACTTGGAAAATATATTTTTACTTACTAAAGTAAATATATATAGTATATACGATAGCTTGGATGCATTTTATGACATTACTAAATTGTATCTATACTAATTAAACACGGAGTAGTTTAAATAGTGTGTCCATATTTGCAATTAACACTGACCGATTTCACACGAGAATTATACTCAATAGACATTTTTAATTTGGTAAAATTAAATTACCATATTTGATTAACTCATGAATAAATCAACACATTACAAAATAACAAATTAATTGTTCTCTCGTCTTATATTATCATTCGAAATAAATATAAAGTACAATTGAACTTAATTGCATGGTAAAATTGTTAATTGATTAAACCCGTTTAGATTAAGTAGTCAAAATTAAGTAAACTCATTTATTTAATCTTAAAATAAACCTTATTTAATTATAAAACACAAAATTTAATAGTTTCACTTATTTATTGACATGTGTACCGGTGAAGGTCATATTAGCACGTGGCTTTTTATATCTTGCGGTTTTAAGTTAAATTTAATTGTTTAAGTCTATCTAATTAAGTAAATAAAATTTGCCTTGAAAAGAATATATAAACCCAAAAAACAAGTTATTAATTAATATTTAAATGATTTATTGGAATTCAAAAATTGTCTTGAATTTTGAAGTCCTTCATGAGTATAATTTATTTAGCACTACCTTAATTTATTAAATTATGAGCTCATATTTCGTTAGTTATTAAATAATAATAATTTTTTTCAAGTCATAAATTTGCGACAAAATGTTTCGATTGAGAATATTCAATATTGTGTTATGGTGAGTAGGATTTTGCTATATCTGTCAAGCATAATTTTTTTAAAAACGTCGAAGCCTACACTTGTTTTTGTTCACTTAACCTTCGAATCAACTTTGGCCACAAATTATTTCAACAATTGTTTTTTACGGAGGAAGAATATTTTGTAATTTTATCCCACTTAACTCCTACATCGACACAAGCAATAATTATTATTGCGTACAATTGTTTGAAATTTCCAATAGAAATATATTGATAAATAAATATTAATTGATTTTTTTATGCAAAATATTTTTTACGCAGTTACAGTCATTCAATAATATGAAAATGTTTTTATTTAATAATTTTTCGTTTTAATTTACATTGATACTGAATTATGAATTTGATATAAAATGTTGTTTCGTAGTCATAATAATCATGTTATTTTGAAACCTTAGAAAAATCTTCAAGTCAATGAAAAATTAAAAAAACCCAGCACAGGGGGGTCGCGGCACAGTGGTGACGTGGCATAGTTGGATCAAGTATAATGATATCTGACAGTGATTAAAATCACTATAAAAAAAAAACGCTTCGATGCAAATCTTTAGATAGTGTTTAATTTTAAAAAATTGGTGGATTATTCCAAAAGCTTCATAAACTGCTAGTTCCTTATTAATATCCTGATTAAGACAAAGTATGTCGAATAAAAAAGAGATTATTAGAAAATAGTATTTCCCATAAAAAAATTATATTGATCAATACACTTTTCAATAAGTTATAGCATTATAATGTTAAAAATGTAAAAAATAAAATTGAGAATTTTCACACAATAATAGCATTTGGTAGCCATTTTCACCTTGAAGATAAAATAAAGTCCGAAATTTTTTTTTTCCATGATAAAGTATATTACATTAGCTTTAATTTAAGATATATATAAAAGTGTCAGACTTTCCGGAACACTTTCAAAATTTAAGTTGAAAAAGTCAATTTTTTGTGAAAAAGTTGTCATTTTGAATCCCCCCCTGTAGGCAGGTAAAAAGTCAGATTTATAAAAAAAATATACCAAATGATAGGTAAAGACATCATGCATCTACAAAAAAAAGAATTATATTGATCCATACATCTTTCGAGAAGTTATAGCATTATAAAGTTAAAAATATAAAAAAGAATTTTTTTACAAAAATCGTATTTTTTTTATTAAGTTTAATGTCTGTTTTCACCATGAAGATAAAATAAAGTCCGAAATTTTTTTTTTCCATTATAAAGTATATTACATTAGCTTTAATTTAAGATATATATAAAAGTGTCAGACCTTCCGGAACACTTTCAAAAGTTACGTTGAAAAAGTTCTACTTTCTATATGCATTTTTATGTTTTGAATCCCCCCTGTATTTAGGGAAATGGTCCGATTTAAAAAAACAGTATGTCGAATGAAAGATGTATATGAATACTACTCCTCATAAAAAAATTGTAATGATTCATACATTTTTCAAAAAGTTATAGCATAATAAAGTTAAAAATGGAAAATACAAAATCGAAAATTTTCAAAAAAAAATAGCATTCGGTAGCCATTTTCACCATGAATATAAGATAAAGTCCGAAATTTTTTTTTTTCATGATAAAGCATATTACATTAGCTTTAATTTAAGATATATATAAAAGTGTCAGACCTTCCGGAACATTTTCAAAATTTAAGTTAAAAAAATTAATTTTTTGTGAAAAAGTTGTCATTTTAAATCCCCCCTTGGGGGCAGGTTAAGGGTTAAATTTATGAAAAAAATATACCAAATGAAAGGTAATGATATTATGCATCTATATAAAAAAGAATTATATTGATATGTTTATTTTTGAAAAAGTTATGGCACTTTTAAGTAAAAAAAATTGAAAAAATTTCGAAAATTAGCGATTTTTAAATTTGTATTTTTTTTGGAGGTTTCCCCCTTTTACGGGGAACGAGGGAATTTTTTTCAATTTTTAAGGGTAATGTCTTCGACTAGATACGATTTGTGATCTTTTGACGTATCATTGAAAGAAATCGGTTCGGTGAGAGCTGAGAAAAAGTGGTAACAGACAAAAAAAAAAAAAAAAAAACACATCTTAGTAAAACCAATACCTTCTCAGCTTCGCATCGAAGCTAAAACTGGGTTAAATTTAACTTTTGTGTTGAATTAATGTAAGACTGCGAAGTCATATAAACATGTTTTCTATCAAAATTCGCTCTAAGCTAAATCGTTGGTAGAATATGTATTATTGATCCAAGACACGAAACCAAATAAGTATAAAATTACTTTTAATTATATTATACATAGTGATCTTAATATGTGCAAATCTATTGTAATTATACGTTACATTTGTTTAAATATAAACACAGTTAATTCGATACAGTTCTATCATTAAAAAACCTAAAAATCTCCTATTCCATTAAAATTAATAGATATTATAATAAAAACAACGATTACAAACAAAACTTGTTTAAAATGTCATTGAGATATAAGATTAGGTTTTTAATTTATTGTATTGCAAAAAGTATGTTAACAAGCGTAATTGAATGATATCGAACGTCTAATAATGTTAAGAATATTTTTTTAATTATGTGTTAATTATATCGTTTATTATTCGATTTGATTTTAAATTTACGTATCATAAAATTAAACATTTAAACGTTTAAGGATATACAAAAATTATTTTTTTATCTAGTGATAAGGAGTTTGATAATTTACAAACAAAAATAATATAACAGGAAAAAAATATATGATTTTTCACCTTCTGAAAACTAATAGTCATGGCCACCATGTTTATTAATGTATATTCTGGTTATGTTCAATTGGTCAACAATTTTTCAATACATTGTATCGGTATTTTAAATAAAGATCACAAATAACATGCCTAAATTATCAATACTTCACAAAACGATTACTTTCTCTTAAAATGTTGAATATTTTTCTGAACTGTACTCGATCTTATGAATTCATGATTTTAATAAAAATAATTACGTTTAGAAATTTTGACTCCGATCGTGCTACTGATGTGAACTCAACACCACAATACTCAAGTTTCGCTGGCGTACGATGCCTGTTATTAAGGGTCATCAATAACAACAATAATAATTGTATCCATCGAATAAAATACTTTCGACCGTTCGCAAGTGCTTAACGTCACGTCACGTACTCGACTCAACTATAAATTATTGTACGCACATCTCTTACTTTGGACACGAGCCTAACCTAAAGTACCTTTCTATCAAATTACATCCTGACTGACGGTGTGGACTATGGGCGTGCAATTTGAAACGCTTACCTGGTCGTATCCGTTGTGATGGTGTGAATAAGAGTTGGACGAATTGCGACCGGAAAGCTTTTCTTTGGACATTTCGTATCCCTGTACTCTTTTTTGCACGGTATTGAACAAAGGGGAAGATTCCAACTCGTTCATCGAGCTGCTAATCTCTGAGGTTCTTAGTTCTTTTTTTCTCCTGACCGGTGGTCTAATGGGTGCTGAGTCTTTTGGCTTCCATTCAGACACGCCTTTGAAATAACCGTTGACCGGTGTTTCCGTTGACTTCATTGTGACATTTATGAAACTATTGGACGTTGTCCTCTGATTTTTTTCGTCGTCTTCTTCTTCGGACAAATTACCCGTCGATGATCTAGTGGACTCACTACCGAAATGGTGTTCAAGCCACTTGGCCGTTTCAACCTAAAAACATTATATACATAATTATAAGCTATCAGAGATGAATGCCATTATGTAGTGGACGTGTACTTTTCTAGTGCGTTCTTCTTCGTCGAAATCGGCTAATGTTTTGCCCGCTACCGGCGGCTGCTGCTGCTGCTGCTGCTTATCTCTCATCCTACGTATTCTTTCCGACAGACTCTCCCAGCCCGCCATGTCACCGTTTAACATGAGTAATTGTTCTGGATCACCCGATCGACCGCCTTCTTCGGTGATAGCTTCGTATCGCATCTTCTCACCGATTTTTTCACCGTTAGCCAAGTATTCGTCAATATCTTGATCTTTGGTTTTAATGTAACGATGAGAACTCTCACGTATCGAGTTCTGAAGGAGCGAAGATGGCAACGGTACGCTATCCGGTTCGTCTACACCGTTTACCTACGGATAGATAAACATATTTATTAGGTAAATCGAAAAGAGAAAATATATATTGAAATCAAATAGCATTATGACTCATAATTAACGAAATATTTCATTAGTCAACTACATGGATGTTCACGCTTTAACAGTACACGATTAAGTGAAGCTCGTTTACTACGAAAATACTACAGCGACTATCGTAAACCTGTAGTAGACATGTTAATGAGGAGTGGGCAATAACATATTTGGCCGGAATTCGATTTAGAACCATATTGAAACGAATACCAAGTTTAAGTGAAAGGATAGAATAAAAACGTAGGTATGAAAAATATATAAAAGTGAAACAAAATTTTATTGAATACTTCGAAGTTCAATAAAATAAAATTGTAAGAGTTGCATTAACGTCCGGAATGCCAATAAATTAACATTCCAGTCGCGTGTCTAGTCTTATAATTTTTTATTTTTGTATTTTCAAATATAAAAATTATATATTACCTCCTCGTGTTCAGTGGTTTTTTTCGTTTCGGTGACGATCTTACCGTCCCTTTGAACTTCTTTTGTGTGTCTAGTATCTTCAGTGTCCGTGACCTTTTTATTCTTGCTGCTCTGGTGAACAATGCGAGGTCCTGAGCTATTCACGTGCACTAGCTTATGATTAGATTCTTCCAAAGCCTCGCGAATGTCCCGCTTACTCTGTACAGCTTCTTGGTATGCCTGTAATTACACAACACAACAAAGTTATTTTAAATAGAAAGATATGCATTACGCATGATTGAGCTTAAGATATTTTCCATAAAGAGGTATTAATAAAGGGGATTATGTCATTTTTTTTTCGTCTTGAGAATAGTGAAAGCTGCGCCCTAATGACACTCATAACATCCATACCATTAACGATTAGTTTTTGATAGATCGGACAAGCATTAGCCAGTCTCAACCGTACTGTCTGGGACAAACACAATAGACAAATGCAAGACGGCTCATAACAAAATCATATTGAATAAGTATATATTACAAAACTAACGTTCTGACATAGTTCTCTCCAACAGCATATTTATGCTTCGAGTGTACTTGTGTATCATGATCGATTCTTGTATGTGTACGACTTTCAAGGTCACTGTCACATGTACACGACGAAAGACGCGAACGACCACACCACGAACAATAACGATTATATTTATGTTTATTGTACCCAAATATATTACATTGTAACACAGCCTAAATTATGTATCTGTAACTTGATATTGTGGTTGAATCGTATACTCAGAGGCGTGCGTTCAAAATTGGATACCGTTCTCTTATTGTGTTAATCATAATCGAGTATACCTTCCTGTCGATTAACAATACGATGAGTGCTTTTGGTGGTAGCTAAAGATGCTTGTACTCAGTGCAGGTTATATATATATATATATAACTTGAGGGATGTGGTCGACTCGGACATGTCTCTGTATACGACCGATAGGAGTACATCTAAATTGTCGCGACTGTATCATTATTTCGATTCATTATTCAACTTGTACTCGCCAGCGAGGTCGCGTTAATTGCTCGCACCGCAAGAATTTTGACATTGTCTTTCAATTAACATTCCTCGCTGGGACGGGTAAGCTTTGAATAATTTGAAAACACGGCGGGTGTGTAAATAATTCGCTATTGTATTTCGCGTGGCAAACGTTCGTTGATCCCAAGGCAGGTCTCGCCGGTCGTCGTTGTCACGACCATAAAGTTCCCCAACCCGGTTAGGTACATTAAATGATAAGGCGACGTTGAAGACCTTCACATGGTATTTGCTGTCAAGTATTTTAGGTTTCACATAGTGGCAAAGGTGAAGTAGCGCGTACGCTACCTGAAGTGTAGCCAAAAAAACATATTCACTTTAAAGTGCAATTCTGTTGTGAGCATAATATGATAGCAAAAAATAATAAGGAGAAGAAAGTCGGGCAAACTTACTGATTTAGTCTGCATGGTAAATAACAATCAGTCACTTCTCAACTGATACAAGACATAAAAATTGCTAAAATTTTTCTTTGAAATTTATTATTATAAATTTTATCTTGAAAAAACACAAATAGGCTGCAAGAGACTAAATCATAGTCGATCTATATCTCATACCGATTTAAATTGCTTTCTACAAATGGACTCATTATAACCAAATAACCGGCGGCTCCCTTTGTTACGTGACCATACCGTACGTATATTGCCGTACTTGTACGACATTATGTATGAGTATACCACAAAAGAAAATTTCAATTAAATTTTAAATTACAAACCTTGTAGTGCTGATCTTAGCAGCTTCCTTGATTATCAACAGACATTACAAGTATAAGAGACACAGAATAAGTCGTTATCCAGAAAATTTCAACCGCCACTTTGAATGACAAACGATTTTCTAACTCAAATTTGTTCACGTCAAAATTTGTACATAACACGATAATGACTGTGGTCATTAAATGTGTAATAATGATCATGAATACAAGTGATATGATGGACTTCACTCAATAATTCAGTGCTCATTAATTACGTAATACAACTGGTAGTAGGACAAGTTATTCTTTGGAACAATAACAATTAAATAAAAATATAAAATATAATTAGTATTTTTACGGAATACGTAAATACATAGATAATGTATTGTTCAAATATTGCAGTCATTTAGATAGGAACATGGAAAAACTGATCCTTTTTTTAGTGAATTCGCGTGGAATCGTTAAGTACCCTGAGGTAACCTGATTTGGTCATGGTATAAGTATACTTTCGCGAAGTAAAACATTCGTAACCATAGAGCAATATATAAAATAAAAAACGGCAGTTGAGTAGCAGTATAACCTCAAAGTATAGATATACAGCAATTGCCACTGCATATCTTCTATAGATGCACAAACTAAAACGCATGATACGAGATTATATTATGAGTACAGCACATCACATCATTTCATATTAATATAAATATTATATTTATCACTACACCACGTACATCTAATAATTTTAAAAATAAGCTATGCATAAAAATTTCAGCGTAGTGATTATAAGCGTCGATTCTTATAAACTCTACCGAGTCATGATTAGATTACCCGAGGCACAGGTGAAATCGACCAATAACAATGGCCTCGAATCAAAATAATTAGCTGAACATAGTATGAGATTAGTTGGTTATTTTTTTGAATAGCGATTAATAACAATCTATTATAATACAGGTTCGTATTACAATACTGAAGTGTTGATACGCAGTCGGAGACTTAAACGCCCCGCGATAACATGTACAGTTAAATGCACAAAATCATAAACCGCGACAAAATGTTAATTATCGTAACATTTACTTCGACATCATACCATAACATCAACTGTCATTGAAAATTTGACAAATGGAAAACGGTATTTTATGAAAATTTTGAATCATTATGTTGTGGACGTCTACACGCGAAGAAATCGTATTCTCTATACATATTGTACAATAACTAGACATAGAAAAAATCACAGTAACAACTCACACATGACAATAGTTGCAACCAATGTACTATAAAAACAGACATATCGATACAATACATAGAACGGAATAATGCTATTCGCGTTAACCGCCGCGGTTCGAATCTATTATATACGAATTGCAGACAGCAGTCTAGGAGTCGTTGGACTCGTCGTAGTAGACATAAACGAACGCCTACTCGAAGTCGGAGTCTACTGAACAAGAAAAATCTTTTATATTAATGAAAACGTTGCACTCGCATCATATATATATATATATACATGTACAATATATCAGAATGACTCGAGACAAATGTATGACCGTTACAAAAATTGTATCACTCGAATATTCTTCACTTCAAAATTTGTTCTGCCCACATTGATCACTCTATGACTTTTTCCATTTTCTATGGCGTTGCATTTTTTTTTGAAAACATTGAAAACTGTAAGAGACAAAGTCAACAGAAAATCACCTGAGAATATCGACATTATTTCATTGATTTTATCTAGGTTTTTTGCATATTATAAATTACAATACCATTTTTTGTTAATAGAACCGGGACGGCCATTATACAAACAAAACGTGTTTTTTAATAAGACATATTTTTGCGAATTTTAGCCTACTCCTAGGAAAGTTTTTAATTGAATTTTTTACGAAAGAAAATATTTTTATTAGTTCTATTTACACTAATTAACTATAAAACAAGTATCATTTTACGAGTACAAGTATTTAAAATATAGAATCAACTCTAATACAAAAAAAACACCATTAAGGTAATTATTATTCGTTTAGATTTCCCAAGAAAATATCTTATATAATCAAAAAATAAATAGTTTTAAAATAAAAATTTATCTAACCGAGCAACCGAGTTATGTATAATTTAAACACAATGTTCGACATGTTTTACATGTTTTACAATGTATTATAATACTTATATATTCTACTACAGATTCAGTATAATTTTTTTTCATTACACTGAATTTGTTAATAGCCGATTATAGGAATCATTAATGCCAGATTTAACAGACACATAAAGTACTTACCGTAAGCCATTACACCTACGCAAGTATTATGCAAACTAATACGATGATGATTTGTCCGAGTTATCCTTGCTGGCAGACATCGTATATAATACGATTACTACTATCATCATCCGACATCTACTTTTACTACACGTAATATTAAATTTAATTTGATTATTAAACACGACAGTTATGTACTGTAATATTCAAAAAAGCCCATCCGACTGTCATCACTACTCTAAAGACATCAGAGGACACCCATCCGGTTCACTGGAATTACACAGACTGGTCACCGGCTGTGCGTTCGTCGCACCGCTGCTTTTAGATACATACACTAGCAAACAAATACCGGTCTCTATGCCGGACCGAATCGCTGCAGCGGTGGTGGATAGGGTCATGGAAATTGTAACAACTCTCGATTTTTACTTTTTTTCCCCTACAAAAAATGTGCTTGCTGCTCGGTTATTACCGTCGTTTCCTACAGATTTTTTATCCATATGAGTATTTAAGTTTTCACCGTGAACCTCTCCTTTTTTCTTATAGATATTGGTTGTCACAAGGCTTAATGCACCTATACCCACGTCCGATTCCGGTCAAACAACGATGTAATGGCTGGGACGTGATTACATGGCAATATCACCGAAAATTGTCGATAAAAATATAGCACAATATAATTATACTGTAATCTTCGTATAATAAAGCCTTAGCGAAATTTTATTATGTTTCCAAAAAAATTCTGAGGTTTTTTTTTTTTTCAAATTTTGTTGTCATTGAGTTTATACCAAAGAGAAATTGTTTGTTGAGATCGAAGAAAATAATTGGTTACTCTGACATAAGTTTTCTTTATACTTTTTAAAAATCAGTTTAAAATTTATTTATGATGGAATATTGAAAATATAAATTTCTAACAAAATAAATATATATACATATTTATTATTAGAACAAAATATTTAATTAATTATGTAATTTATAATTTATATAATATATAAAAGATAGATTTTCAACAGTCGAATAATTGTTGAAGTATAATGAAAATTAAGTTGTGTTTAGACAATCAAATAAAGAGGAGAATGTAAAAACGTCTTCAATTTTTTCTATCAAAAAGACATCAGTGTTTAACCAATTATGAGTAAAATTTATTATAATTAAAAGAAATATGTCACTGTTAAAATAAATGAAAATAATTGCATTAAAATGAATACTTTGATCTTCAATTTGGTATTATTTTTATTACA